TCTCTGTTAGAGAGTACGGGACAGTACCTTGGTAGCTGTATTTGAGGTTATCCCCCCCCCTCGTCTGGGACTGAGAGGTGCAAGATCAGTGGCTCTGATGTATTGAGCTTGCTGTGCACAAATTAACTGCCAAGTTTGCCAACAAATAATCAGTCACTACATTTGACAGCAATTACCCATGCAGTGCTTTGAGGCATTTTGAGGTTAACGGCCCTATATCCGATGCACGGATGATTATTCTTCAAGGGAATACTCTTGTAAAACAAAGGAAAATAGATACGATGTAAAAGTGCTTTGAGACATCAAGACAAAGATATTTGAGAGAGATTCGTTTAAAAGAATGCATTTATCTGGAGATAAATTTCACGGATGCAATTTTAGCTGCCCGTTTCTCTTCGACAACTTGAGTACAAAAAAAACATGAGCTCCAACAAGTAACAAAAGGAAAACAGCTCAAGGCCATTTGGATTGGATCTCCAGCAGTCTGTCAGCTAAATGCCGCAATCAGTCATTCTGAAGCTACTGACAGGGGTAGACTCTCTGAGTTGTGTGTTTACCCAGATACAGGTTCATTAAAATATTCACAAGTGGAAAATCAATGCAAGATTTTACTCAGCACTGACCAAGCGTGAAAATACCTCATCAATGACAGTCCGCACTAGGTCCTCACATGAACCGTTAGTTCAGTGAAGATGCATCAATGTGGAAAATGCGTTCACAGTTTCTGAGACTGGGTGCGACCTTGTGAAAAATAAAACCTGCTAACAACACGATCAGAATGGCTTAGTTAGTCCTACAATGGGCAATGAACCTTGCAAAGCACAGCCTAACTCACTTGAGCCACCTGTACTCAGTTAGTTTAATTGGTTGGTGATAGCCAATTAAACAATCCACCTATAACCCTTTCATTCGAAGAGTCAAGTCTTTCCTACTGCAAGGTAAAGTTGAAACAAAAATTAACCCGGATATGGTGTGCAAGGGCAAAACAAGTGAAAGCCGAGGGCGTGAAATTCCTCTTGGTGCTAATTGTAATGATCTTTGACAATCTTTGCTAATATGAAACGGCCCTGTCAAGCGCACATCAGAATGGAGGTTTTCAGCTCAAAAGGTCATCTTGGCCCACAGAGCAGGTTCAAGGCAGATCCACCATGCTTTCCTCCTTATCCCAATCGCTGGAGACCCAATAGCTCTGCAGAAATGTCATGAGCTGTACTTTGGAAACTCAAGATTCGTTCACAAAATACTGTTTATGGGAAACTACTGACCCTAAGAGGCTCCTGCATTTCGCCCACAAAATACACAGTCAATTCACTTTACGGTATATTCTGTGAAGCACTTTCAGACTTATTAATGACGTGACAAGGTCCTACATCAATGCAAGAATTATAAAATATATATTTTTATTGCAAGAGACCCGATTCTGTTTGTAAAAGTGCCTCCACAAAGGTCAAAAAAACAAACATAAACCTATTTGATGTGGTTCTGTGATATAAACCTTGCTGCCGGACTTATCCTTTAATTTGCTCTGCAAAGTTGAAGAAAAATAGGGCAGTGGGAGGGAAGGGGCAGTATATTACATTGAAAGGAAACAGTATAGTTAATGTAATCACTCAAGGCTTGCTAAATCGTCTTCTATTGCTTATACCTAAAATATTCTGATAGCAGATAAGAACGTAAACTATATTGGTTGGAAATGGCACAAGGTGTGATATTTCACTTCCTCCATTACCTACTTTATTAAAATCCTCAACTTACCAACATACATCAGCACCAGTATTTATCTTCCAAAATCTCTCAATTCTGGGAGTACTGCTTGAATAGAGACATCAGATAGCTGTGAATCAGCCCCAACCCATCCTTTCCCACAGGATACAAATTGCAGTTTGTGTCATTCACATCACCCTGGACACTGAGGAGTTTCAGTGCAAACAGCATGGACCTCGATTTAATTAGTGCAAGTGTTAATTAAGAAGTAACGTCTTGATTGTTGTCGGTGAATATTGGTGACGCGATTTTAAATCAAAGGAAACCAAATTGATGTCAGGGGGCTGGGACAGAGCTGCAGATAAACATTTTACTTGTCAGTAAACTTCTTATAAAATGATGGTAATAGATGGGCATTTGAATCTAAGCTGTGGTTCCCCGCTCCTGATTTGCACCGACAGAGAGAGCCAAGTACAGTGAGTGTACTGGAGGCTGCCAAGTTTCCTTTCTCATGACCTGAAAAGCCACGGAAACAGAACCTGCCCTCACGTAGGATGCTTCAGAAAGTTTCGTAAGGACGTTATCAGATGCCAAGCAAGGGAGGAGGAGAAGGGGAGAAAAGACTGGAATGTAATTACAGTAGCATGATATCAACTGAGCTCGGTTGTGATATTTTTCAGCTAAAATGCCAATGCTGTGCTGAACACACCTCGTGTATAATACGAGACATCTCAGCTGCACTTCCAACAAGACATCACAAGGTGGCATCCTACCCAACGCCAGCACAGAAACTGCTTCGAAACATTCAAGATTTACATCAATGGTTCAAATATGGTGTTCAAACAATTTCACCCACAAATGTACAGTCATTCACTTCACAGTCTATTCTGTGAAGCGCTTTGAGACGTCTAGAAGACGTGAAAAGCTCTATATCAAATGCAAGGATTATTATTATTATTATTATTTTTATTGCTATTCCTGCCAATGATCACCTGCAACAAGACATCAGTGTTCCTGGAACTGCAGGAATTTATCTATTCCATTTGAAGAAGGAGCTGTTCACAGATACAGATGGGAAATGCAAAGATTTTTTTTAGAAGAATAAGAACTTTCTTATTTCCTAAAAAAAGTATAAATTTGGTTAACATGCAAAAAGCTACAGTGCAAATTGAAGAAAGCAAATAATAATAATGATTTGGCCACTCAATCCATGACTGTTTGTGGGAAACTGCTGTGCGCAATTGGCTGCTGCATTTCGCCCACAAACTGTACAGTCGATTCACTTTACAGTATATTCTGTGAAGGGCTTCGAGATGTCTCGAAGACGTGATAAGGAGTTATATCAAAAACAAGGATTATTATTACTATTAATTAAAGAAAAAAAGCTGTACATACCAAAGTCAAAGCTGTAAAGTGCTCTCGCTGTATTTACAACAGTGCTGCAGACAACTACACTCTGTGGTAAAGAGGAAAGCTAACTAGAGAATAAATGGAGAGGGGGTGGGAAGAGGTGAAAGAACATCTTTTAAAATGGTCTGATTTCGATTTTCTTTTGTTCCACCTGAATTTACATTACAGAAGGACCCTCATTATGATGTTCTTTATTGTAATGCAGTTCTGTAATGGGCTTTCCAATTTTCCTGTCAGCTCCTTGTAAATGTTCACCCATTATCATTCAATAGCACAGCACAGCATTTCAATGCAATCTCGGTTTTTGATCCCGACAAACCCGAGTTTAGATAGGGAGTCGGGCCCAAAAATGTTAAAACGCTTCCAATTGGAGATCCTCCTCGAGGCGCTGTGGATTTTCAGCAAATTCTGATTTTATTCTCTACCTCAGCTCCTTGTATGGGGCGTCACTGAAAGTCAAAAACCCTTCAAATTCAGTGTTTTATAACCTATGTTGGCTCAATTATTCCAACGCACTGCTCAGCAGGCTCTCCACATGCTCCCTACAACAGCCTACCCACAGACCATCCAGAACCCTGCAGCTTGTGTCCTCTCCTGTATGAGGCCTTGCAAACCCATTGCTCTCAACGTAGCTCAGCTCCACTGACTTCCCACCCCCCTATGGACAATGCATTAAATTAGTCCTCTCTTCTGGAGAAGTAACACTCCAATATCTATCATTTGATTCAACCAAGGGATTTGCACAATACCAATAAAAGGCAAAATAAAAGGTAGTCACAGTAATATTAACTACATAAATAACTACATGATGGTTACTTATAGATTATTTTAACACCTCGATGTACAGGATAAACAACAGTCATGACCCTGTGTGATGGTCCACACTATTGAAACGAAACTAGAATTAAAAATGCTGGACGAAGCACAATGAAGTTTTGTGTTACCATGTGATGTTGAACTGAGAGAAGGAGTCACTGTGATTCTCAGCACTGTAAGCTCGCAATCTAAAGGTCAGTCATAAAGGGCGAGGGCATAATCAAAAGAACGGGTACTGAACCACAGGATGGAATTAAAAATTCACAGCGCAGGACAGCCCACGCCACACTTACACATCATCCAGCAGCTACCAATTCAGCCCAGTGGCAGAGGCTAGCTGCCAAGCTTCTCGGTGAGACTTTGACGATGATGCCAACTGCCTTTGGGCCTCGAGAGTCACACGTTCTGGTTAACAACACAACTCGCTTTGAAGTTTGTCACTCTGAACAACAAAGACGACTCCACAAGTTGAAAAGGATTTACAAAGCCTCCTTCTCCCTTATGGCTCAGAAATGGGTTGCTACTGGAACCAAATAGACCTGAAAAGTCTCAGGTTCAACAAACCCCAGTCTTTGCTCCCTTACCTCATCTCAGTTTGAGAAAGTGAGCTAACAATGATCCCGCAGGCAGGATGGGGTTAATAAAAAAATAAGTAAGGATTGTTATTCCTGATCTCCATCTCAAGTGGTTCCTGAGCGAAATGTGGTGTAAATGTAAATCTCCTCATACACGGTTATTATTTATATCCTGACCCAGATACTGCAGAGATATTCAGTAACAATGGTGTATTATGTGCACAAATAATTTGCTACGTTTTTCTTCGACTTAATTGGGGGAGAATTGTATTCTATCCAACCACATAACCGATAAAACCAAACGTCGACCACTGATCTCCTCACACGGACATGCAGCAGAGATAAAGGATAGCAATGGGAACAGAGCTTAAATTTTTCCAGTGTATTTTAGTCACACGTGGAAATTAGTCAGAAATGATGGTCTGTGGAGGTACAGAACTTCTCTTTAGTCATCACTGAGATATACTGCACAAATAAGGCTTTGCATGTCCTCACCCGCTGGCAATATCATCAGTCCGCAGATTCTTGCCCAGGACGTCACCATCGCTCATGTAACCAGCCACATCCAGGTTGATGGCCTCGAGATCCATGTCATCGCTGCTCTTATCAGGGATGTCCGAGTGGCATACATTGCTGGTCCGTGATGCCAGCTGCCTCCGGAGTGGTGTCGTGTACATGTAGCGACCGGATTCGGGATGGATGAAACGGCTGGCGTTGGCCCGAGGAGGGTATCCATTCCCCAACGAAGGAGCGTCTCCAGCCTGGAGTCGAGGGCTCGATTGGCCAAGTCTCCACGACAACGGAGTTGACCTGCCCGTCATGCTGAGTATACTGCGTCCACTGATCTCCGTGGTAACACTGCTGTCAAAAGTGGTTTCCAGTGTGCTAAAAACAAAGAGAAAACTCTCAGATCAAAGCGACACGGAGAGTGAAATTCAACAGCGCAGATGCATACTTGGGTGCCAACATGGCACCAAAACACCACTTACACATTGTCATAATTTATATTTATCGCTAAATGCCAAAGAAACAAAATGTTCATGAACAGCAGGGGGTCCCAAGTTCTGCTTCCCGGACATTATTTTGCACAAAAGAACCTATTGGCCCAATTGCTGGACTCGCAGTGCACACACTCAGTACAACAAACGGGCCCTTCAAGGCATTCACAATGATCAGTGAAGCCAGCTCCATCGTCCAAACAGTACAGTAAATTACATTCAAGATACACAAAAAGGGGTACTCCAGGCTTAATGTTTATCACAAAGCTCCAACACTTGGGGTAAAAGCTACTGAAAGGTTCAGGTGTTGCCAGAGATCACATTTCCACATTCTGCTGGTCAAAACCTTGCTTGTCCTGCCTAGAATGGCTTTTCAGCAACTTAAAAAGCAATACTTGTCAAAAATCTAAACGAGAAATGCGTCATAAGAAGAAAATAAACCCTAACCCATTGATCTGGTTATTTAAATACCAAAACGTTTGTTCAGGCTCTTCAGCTGAATCACTTAAGTAGACTCAGTTCAGATCTTGTTTGCCATTCAACATTCAAACCTAATTCATGCCTGAAGTTTACACAGAGACATGACTGATGGAAGCTAAATCTTCAGAAGCCAAGACAACAACCATGTTTTTAATCTCTTTCAATGTACTTTGTTTACTATGGGGAAGATTTTTTTCAGAGTACAGTACTGTACTTACATGTTTTGTATGGAAATGGTATGCAGGAGAGAGCTGTTGTTCAGATTAGTTGCTTATGTTTTATTCACAACTTCCAGTGCATTCACCATCACCTTATCTGCATGTTATCAATTTAGCTCAGCAGCCCATCTCCTCACAAGAGGCTCAGCCTATCCTTACGTCTTGCAAACAAGACATCAAAGTGTTGCTTTTGATTATTAGACGAAAATAGCTGTCAACAGCATTTGCATGTGGTTTGAGTTGTGTGCTCACTGCCCAAGTGATTTTATATGGCTTCAAGCATCATGATGTGAGTGACAGTGACTCCTGACGCTCAAGTAAACTATTGCAGAGCGGACTGGTACCTGTGTGTGATCTGTGTCCCTCTTAAACTTGACATGGTCTCCTCCAGGTTCTGACGTAGGTCAGCAATGTTCTTGACAGTCCGCAGCCTTCGAGTCTCTGGGTCGTCCCCTGCAGACAGAACCACCTTGTGAAATTGATTGTTTCATGACGTTTACAATCCAGCAAAAGCCGTCATAACTTCGGCAACACCAAACATTCGCTGAACTCGTTGTCCCTGCACATCTTTACATCAGTGAAGCCAGCTCCATCGTCCAAAGAGTACAGTAAATTACATTCAAGATACGAAAATGTGTACTCCAGGTTTAAAGTTAATCACAAAACTCTGACAGATGGGCTAAAAGCTCAACAGATGGATCACATCACAGTTTAAATTGCTGTACTTTTATATTGCTACACTTCAAGACCCAAATTATAGGAATTATCCTTCAGCTGTGTATTGAAATATCACTCAGCAGCAAATGGCAAGAATATTCGTTTTGTCTGAATATATGAACAGAACATCCTTAACATTTTCCAGGACTATTTGATGTTAAAGCAATAAAATTGACCGTGGATCTTTCTCTTTTACTTAGCTCAGTAAAATAATAATGAATGTCACAGTTTAAATTGCTGGGTTTTTTTATTGCCACACCTGAACAAAGATTTTATAAATATTTTGAAAAGATTTGCAAGTGCTGTAAAGTACATGCAGCAGTTTGTCAAACTTTTCAATGCGCTCTCACACTTTATGCGGTTCAGATACAAATCTGACTTATTTGTTCATGTATTTGTTCGCCCACTGAAAATCGCAAGTCCAGGTTTGATTGACTGACGTGATACTTACTGTTGAGATGCTGGTAAACATCCAGCATCGTGAGCAAAGTTTCCTCATTGATGCGAGCAATCCCTTGCCATACACAAGTGTGCTGAACATTCACTTTGCACAACTCTTTGCTTCCACACACCACCACGCCCCCTTTTTGGGTGGCTCTGCTCGGTCCCGGTTGAGGTAACGGTCTTTGTCCGCTTCCCGTCATTCCACACAGCGTTGGGATACTGCTGACTCGGCTCCCGGCCGCACATCTATCTGAACGTCCGCAGACCGAACCGAAAGCTTTCCTAAAAATTCTCGACGAGTTGAGCTCTATAGGAGTGGGCGTTTGTGTGTTTGCGTCGTTTCCCCTTTGTCGGTGGTGGAGCTGCTTTGAATCTTTCAGCAGATTGCTGCAGCCCCAGGAAAGCACAGGACTTCTGCCATACAAGTGACCTTTTTCGGATTTCGCATTTCCTGCTTTTACTTTTTGCTCACAATCTCCAGGACTTTTCGACGTGCAAACGCGGTTTCTGCTGCTCGGCTGATACATCGCTGACAAACGGTACGATCCGTTCTTCCTTCCTTCCTCTCACTCGTCGGTTTCCACTGAAAGTTTCTTTATCCGCTTTCTTACAGGCGTGCCGCACTCTCTTTCACAGACGAGTGTTAAACAAGCTCTTCCGGCTGGCTCACGGTTTTTTGCACGTCTGCTAACTTTCATTTGCCGTAAATGTAACCGTTCTGCCTAAATGCGCCAGGTGAACTTCTGGAGTTTGCGCAGACTTTGGTCAAAAGCGCAAGGCAACAGAAACTCATCAACTGGACTTTGCTTTGCATGGTCTGCTATGAAGAGACGCTTTCTCTCACACAACAAGCGAGCTCTCTACTCCAGGCTTCTTAAGCCTGTATTTAAATTGACGGATGGGGAAAAAAAGACGGCCTGTTGTGTTCTTGGGTCAGCCATTCAGAGAAGAGCTTATTGAAAAAGTTTCAGGCATTACCATTGCTGCACGGTCTGAGTCCTCACTTCCCCTTAATATGCGTCTGGTGTTTCTCTTTTTTATGCTTGTGTTTGTCTTGCTCTGAGGCTGCCATGGTACAAACAGCTGAAATGGGCACAACAGCAGCTCTCCTGACCTCAGACTACAAAACGTCTATTCACTATCTTCAGTGTTGTGAATCTTGCTCCATTCAAGACGTAACCCTTCCCCCCACCCTCCCACCCACCCCCCAAAATAAACTGCAAATGCTTCTTTTAACCCCTAAGAGAATAGGTGAATGTCATTAAGAACAATACTTTTTTTTGCAAATTTTCTCTTAACCCCCCCCACCCAGGTCTGAAGATGGTGCTCGCTCTGGTAAGGGGAGGAAAACTGAAGGAAAACAAAGTAAGTTTGTTCAACAAAGTATATGGTGGGGAGTGGGAGCCTTTTTGCCAATTTTGTTCCATACTTTGCTCCTCTCCTACACCTTTTGACTTCTTTTATGAGGTGCTTTGTTCTCTACTCTAGGCCGGTCATTTGAACGTGGCGAGATAGCAGCCATGTCCAGTCCTGCCCTTGCCCGTCATCCACATGCAGGAGGTCACATTATAGCAATTAGGATTTGGAGCCCCGGTTGCTTTTTCTCCTCAGTCTCGGGCCAAATATGGCACTTCTTCTTCTATCCAGTTTGAGATCAGCAAAACTTAGTGTCGTCCTTCAACCTTCTGGCTGGAATGGCTGAGAACCATACCATTTTCATTCAGAACCTATTTTTACCTGGAATGATCATCAAACAGGATCCCACTGCACTGCATGCCTTCCCTTCCCCTTATTTGCAGGTCTACACTACAAAGAGCCATCAACACAACGCTGTGGGTATTAAAGGAGCAATCTCCCCAAGCATTCGGGTTTTCAGCTTTGGCTGCAATTCAGTGGCAGTTTACCTTTAACAATCTGCAGCATTAAACTTTAAAATTAGAGATTCCCAAATCCCTACCTTGTTAAAAATGAATGAAAACTGTCAGATCCACTCTGGAATCTCTGCTTGGTTTGACATCCTAGCTCAGCTGTACATTGGGGACTTGCCGCCTGTGTTTTTCTCCTCTCTCCCTCCCGGTCCCAAGCCTGACCTCATTTCCAGTGCTGCGCATTGCACAGGGTATATCCGAGTAAGGTCAGTTTCACTCCCGCTAATGGACCTGACCCATGGGAAGCATGATGCCAGGAGGACCAACCAAAATGAGGGTCCACTGTCCCAATGGATTAAGAATAGATTAATCAAGAACAGTAAATGCAACGTCCTCGAGAGAAATGGAGGTAAATATTACATTTATAACGTGTAACACTTTAATTTTTTTAAAATTGAAATGAAATTGGTTCCATTAATCAAACATTGCTTTGTTGATGTCACTGTTCGTACATGCAACACTCAGGCTATAAACACTGGCTGTGTTGTTGCATTGGTGATTGCACGGAATGATTGAATATAATTGGCGCAGTTTAGCACAAAACCTCTGCTCATTGTTATTAGCACAGCGTATTCTCTCCTCGACATCTATTGGGAGATTGGACCTCTGCATATGACTGGGTTTATCTTAAGGCTGTCAAGGTAGAGATTGGCACAACAGGAGTTAAACAACTAAGTTTACAAAGCTTCGGCAACATAAATATTTTGTATTAACCTGACTCCCCAATGCCTCAGCTTGTACTGAACCAGAGGGATGAGGAGGATCCAAGACTCGATTCCTGGTTCGAACTGAGTTACATGATCTCGGCAATTAGAGGAACTGCGGCTTGCTGTAGGGCTTCGGGTTTAGGGAAGAGAAATTCAGCCAGGGATCCCAGTTGTAGTATCCTCACGCAGGATAGAATCTCGGAGTAAGTTTAAATCAGGTGAGGACCGAATTAGGTTCAGTTGTTAAAGCCACACACAGTTGAGTAAATTGACTGAAACTCACCGTTCAGGGGATAATGGGCACTCGGGGAAGGCACCACAGTGTCAGCACCTGTGGAAACACCCCCCACCCCACCAAAGGCAGAAACAATTAGACAAACAAATGTATTCAGAAAAAGAGAGAAAACTGTCGAGATTCAAACAAAATTTTTTTTTACAATAGCTAACAGTAGATTCGATAAATAATTATCCCTTATGTTGGCTTTTTTTAAAAAAAAGTTATTCGTGAAGGATACAATTTTTCACAAAATATCAAAAATAACACTATCCATATTTCTATTGACCAGTTTCAAAACAAAATGATTATTCCAAAGAAGAAAAGGAAACCTGTACATTAGTTCAGGATTTATTCATTACTTCAATAGTTTATTTTGTTTATAAAATAATAATGAAGCTTGCAGTTGATATAGCGCCTTATCACAGAATATACTGTCAAGTGAATTAACTGTATATTCTGTGGGAGAAACGCGGCTACTGTAACTTACCAGGCTGATCTTCCAAGCAGGGCTGTCCATTTTTGCTGTATAGAACAGTTTCCATGTTCACGCCCCCGCTACTGGATTCAGTTATAACATTCCCTTCATTGTCTGTCTGTGACCTAAAAGAGAACAAGCCATCACAAACACGAAGCAGCTTTAACGCACAGAACAGCAGACTGACTCTGCATAATTTATCAACCTCTCATGAAGCAAGAGCAAGGAAACTGAAAATTCACTCAGCCATAGGTGAAACAGTTATTTGTAATCAAAATCATTAGGCGCGGCTCGACTCACAGAATTGTTTGCCCAACACATACCGATTGACTTGTTTGTAATGGTTTAATGGAAGTGTATCTAAATCAGTGAATTTAAAAAATATTTGCCACAAAGACTGTTATGACTGCAGACTTGCCCCCCTCCAAAAAACACAGAGATTCGAATGCAAGGTGCAAGGATTATATATTTTTAAAAAATCTTTTTTCTCCTCTCCTTAAAGCCAATTAACTTTGTTTTCTTTCTACCGCTTTGTAGTTTCACAGTCATCAGTAACCCTCTTGTACTTTGCTCAAGTGCCTATTGTACATGTACATTCAGCTATCAGTGGTAAGTTAGCCGGATTCTGCCCTCTTTCTCTCAATCTCACACACACACACACCAACACACACAGACATACAGTTCACAAGAAGTCACTGAATAGTGATCAAGAGCCGGAATTAAGGCTGATTTCCCTGCCTAGACAAGGGTCTCAGGTCATTCCCCATTGCTCGCCTTACTGAGATTTGTTAACTCCGTACGTGCCATTCGAGAGTCAACTGGGAGCTTCCCAGTCCATTCTTTGTTGCATAAACTCACTGAGAAATCAGGGAAACTTAACATTCCTCATCTTAGTTCCACACCTCCAACCAGAAGCTGGGCAGATGCACCAAGAATCTACGGACTTCAAGGCATCAACTTTTTTTTAATCCTCTCCTCCCTCATGGTCCTTCCCCTTGTGTGTTTTATTTGGTTTTGTTTATATTATTATTTTCAGTTTTTTTTTTCCTTTTTGCACCCATGTCATCTTTAACTGGGAAGGATGGAAAGAGATGTTTGTGCTGGGTATTGGAACCAGCTCCCAAACAGTTTCAATATATAGAGCCTGAGCTGTGAGTTGGAACTTCATCTGTCTGACTGCCACAGTGGAACAGCTCCAATAAGGGAGAGAGAATGTCTCGCTACAGATGTACACAACTCCAGTAAACCCTAAAGAAGGAAATTTGCTGTGTAACATAAACATACGTCACAGCACAAACTCGTGGTTTCCAGGCAACAAAAAAGATAATGGAATTGCTCTTCTCGTGCTCCATTTGCAAAGAGTTTTCATGGTAGTTACTCTGGGCTGAAGCCAACACTGAATTCTTGGCTCCCGAGGCAAGTGCCCTCTCCCCAAAATGTTTCACTCTTTCCTTTCCTTCCAGTGCTGGAGGTGAGAATTTTTTTTCTTGAGTACAGTTCCATGGGTGCCATCACCTTTCCGATACCTCACCCACCCTTCCTTTACGGTTGGGCCTAAACAACAAACGTCTTTGGCCGTTCTGGGTGTCCACCACAGCTGAGCCTGCTGCTCTCCTCACCCTCATCCAAACACACTTCTAACAAAGTTCAGTGAAGCAGAATGCTGACCAAGATTTCGCTCTCCGCAGACCTGGGAGTTTGAGTCAAACTGCAGAGCCATACTGTTGGGCACAGCCGAGATTGGCTAAGCAAACAGTAGGCAATAATTGAACCTCAGAACTTCCTGCTCTGTCTCACTCAATGACATACTATTCAGTGCAATTGCCCACTGAACCATCAGGAAGCAGCAACAATAGAAGCACTAGTCTTTGACGCGCTTTGTGAGAAATAATTGCCACATTAAACCTGGCATCTGCAAATTCCAGTCATTAATGAAAGAGAAATTAATTGAAATGTAACCAATTTCCCAATGATTTTTAAATACTGTATCGAGTCCCAGTGCACTTCTCGAACAGTTCTGTAAGATCGCTGTGGTTTTACATCTATTTCTGATTGTGATGAAGCTTCCTGGTGAAATGCAAAATCAAAGAAATCTAAACTAAGTTAGAGGATAATGGATTCAAGCTCCGCGTTGCGATTGTGAAGCTCACAGTTTAGGCTAACACTCCAGCGCAGTGCTAGGGAGAGCACCGCCTTGTCGGGAGATGCCATCATTTGCATGAGACTTTAACCTCAGGCCTCATCAGCCTGTTCAGGTGTATGTTAAAAACACAATCCTCCAGTGAGAAAATAAAATTGGTCGTTCACTTCATGGTTGTTTGTGGGACTTTGCTGCAAATTAATTGACCAACAAAAAATTATATTTGTATAGCGCCCTTCACGTCGGGAGGACGTCCCAAAGTGCTGGAAAGTCGGACATCCCAAAACGTCCAAAAGTTACCGAAAAAAATAAAGCAGTCTGAGCAATTCAAACCAATTGCCAATGTCAACATTACACGTCAAACCTACCTGTACATGAACGGAGCAACAGTGGCAGTGTTGGGATGGTTGTATTGCTGCTGTGGATGAGGTAGCTGGACACTGACCGTGTTACTTGCTGTAGTTTGGGTCGTGCTGGCTGTCGTGGCAGCCTGAGCATTGCTGTTGCTTGCAGGGGGGGTCCCTCCAGGCCCTTTCCCCTCAGAGGAGGCTAAACTACTGGAGCTCGAGTTCTTACTGTCCAACTGTGCTTTCTGCAGTGAGAGACCAGCACCCAGCTTCCCACTGCGGGGTCTCTCTGTCTCCTTGGCCGGAGTTTGGGCACTTGTCGTTTTCCCTGTATGAGGTTTCAGCCCTGGTTTTGGTATTCCACTTTGTTGAGGTGCGGGTGGGTCTTTTTTGGCACCAATCAGTTTCCCTCCTTTTGGGATAAAGCTTGTGATCTTAGAGGACTTTTTTGGCATATCAGAAGCAGATATCGGTGGTTCCTCTCTTGGCTCCTTTGCCACTTCTACCTTGTCAGAGATAGAGACCCTTTTTGTGACCTCTTTCGCTTTGTCTTTCTCTTTCTGCTTCTCCTTCTCTTTCTCACTGCCTTTTGGCGAGCTTTTCTTATTGCTCAACGCTCGACTGATAGTCCTTTGTGCAATGCCTTTTAGTGCAATTTTGGGGCTGTTTGAGGCAGGTCCTGCGCTATTAACACTTCTGGCCGAGGTGTCCATTTCACTAAGGTCTACTCCGTTTGCGGCAGACTCCGGTCGCTCGCAGCTGCCTTCGCGAGGCCCTGAGGTGTCCAGGCTGGTTCCGCTGGCCTTGGAACCACCTTTACTGTTGAACAGCTTTAACTTCTCCAGCATGGACTTTTGGCCATTGGCATTGGACTTGGCGTTGGCAGCTGGCTCAGCAGGTGGCTTGGGTGGCTCCTGAGTGGGCTGCTTCACAGATAGCATGGAAGACGTGGCAGTGTGCTTGGCATTGAGGGACTTGCTACGCCAGGGCTTAGCAGAGTTTGGTTGGGGGATTGCGGAGGTGTTTCCGCAAGCGCTGCTTGCTGAAGCCTGGACATTCTCATTCATCCCAGGCTGTTGGGTCGCGTTGTCTGCTGGCTCTGGAACTGAAACACAGATAATCGTAAGTGAAACAACTCTACAAACTCTTCCGACCCTTCAAATTCTTTCCATAAAAGGGAAAGGCTTCTTTTTTAAAAAAAAATACTCTATGTCAGTGTTCTTTGTTAATTTTTTTTGCCGTTGTTTGTCTTTGTCTTGCCTGTACAGTGCAATTTTAGGCTCTTCTGACATTTGAAATGGATTTATCACATTTGAACGTATTTATTCCCCAAATTCGGTGATAGGAGATATAAAATCAGATTGCAGAAAACTTGTAAAACCTGTTTAGGTTCTTTAAAATCTCTCACATCAACCAAACATGTTCATCACCTCCATCACTGAAAAGTGCATCCAAACGTCTGTTGGAACTACCGCAACATAGCAAAGATGTTACAGTGTAAATCCATACAAGTCCTGTGCACGTTTGGTCTATAGATTTATCAGGAGTCATCACTTTATTTATGCCAAATAAGAGCAGAATTCAGGGGAGCAAGTAAAGCGATTGTAAATGTTAATTATTTGTTGAAGAAGCAAGACATTGCTATCAAATCCTTGTGCTGTTAACTCGAGGTTGCATTGTGCCATTACACTGAATAGTGTACTTGGGCTCTGGTAAAATGATCAGCAGTGTGTTCTAGACCTGTAAGAGGCTATTCTGCTTGTAATTATTTCCATTATAAAGAATCCCAGTACAAATTCACACCTCTAGCACAATACAACGATCATCCATCAATGAACATTTATGTAAGCAGTTTACTTACCCAAAGAGTCTCATCGTTAATGTGTTACCTGATTAAAAAGCACTGGGTGCAGGCACAAAGTGTTCAACAATGCCGTAACCTACTTCTCTATGCAATTACTATCATCTGTCACTGACTCACAAATGCAACTGTTCCTCATACAGTAGAAAATGAATACAAAATGTTTTTGCTTGTAGTCAAAACGCCACAGATTGCTTGCAGATTGCTTTCCAATTTCAGGATGAAGTCCGCTGGTTAAGCCTATAACTGTTGTTGGAACAGTCTTACTAAATTCAAAGGAAGACAGACAGCAGCAGCACAAAAACATACGTTTCTGCGTTTTTTTGAACCCAGCCCTGTCACAAGCCTATCGCAACGGCTTTCCTTCAATTCCAAGAATTTGTGAGGACATTTATTACAATTTGCAGTTGTTTGATCCGAGCCGGACGCTCTGATGTTCCAACTCATACATCTTCCCCGTTAACTGTGTGCCTGTAATTTACTGAATAACAATTATGGGCTGGACACTGGCCCAAACTACATGCTTGTTTAATGACATCATTAGTTGATGGGAAAACAGTGATGACAGCAGAAAATACTGGGAATAATGTGCATTATATTTCCATAAAAGACAACATTGACTGATGAAATTGCATTACAGTTAGAATTGCTACAATGCACTAGACAGAAATTCAGACATTATTGCAGAATGAACCTACCAACAATATATTGACCTAACAATACCAGACATTCCACATTATAAGAAGGCATTAACTAGTCCCTGATTGACGGTTTTTAATTTGAATCATTTTATCTCTGCAAAGATGAGCAGGAATGAACTGGAAAAATAATGAGATAGCACCGACACTTGTAAGTGATTAGTGGAAGACCACATTTAGATCAACAGCACTTCAAAGGATATTGAATAAAGCATTTTTTTGCTTTCTCTTCTGTGGTATTATAGTAAACCCCATTTAAGTCTTGCTGAGATAAAAACAGCATCACAAGTATAAGACGTACTGGCATATTGGATACACGGACAATTTCCAGCATATCTGGGGTCGAAAGAAGCCCAGAGTGATGAGAGAAAGACACTACTCAGTTTGTGTGGAAAATCAATACCTCATTTCTAAGCTATTGACACACCAGGTCAGTGTTTGCAGTTACGTGAATGAGTCCAAGCACGTTCATCTAAACAAAAATTCAGTGTCTGTTTGGGAGGAAGCTACGTGCAGCATCTCTCTCTCTCTCTCTCTCTGAAAATTTGGCAGGTTAAAGTTACTGATCGATAAAGATAGTGCTCACAGGTGGAAAAACGGCTGAGATATCCTGCAGCATGAATCACTCCCACATCTCAGTAACTGTGCAATGGACTGTCCTCTTGCACTGCAGTGCACCAAACTGGTAAAATGACCCCGTAAGAAAAAGCAAATGTGAGAATCAAACCCAGAACAGGAATTAAGCTTGAATGCAATGCTCAAATGTGAGATCACACTGCCTTGTCCAAAATCTGTACATAAATATTTCTTGTTTTTCCCCAGAAGGAAGGAAACTATAGTTATTCAGCGGCACAGAATAGGCTCACACGAAATGCAGTTTCTACTGTAAACAATGGTATGACAACAACAAATTACATTTGTGTAGCACCTTTCACGTCAGGAGGATGTCCCATGACGCTGGAATTAGTGCACTTTTTGGGATATTTTATACAAATGGCATAAATTCTCAACAAACACCAACTGTTTCTGACCAGGCAAAACAATTATATTTCGGAATTTAAAACATTCCAGCTTGAATATTCTGAACAATGAGGAGTGGATTACACCTACTACCAAGTTACTTCAACATAGTTTTTCCAGTGTTAGTTGTAAATCATTCCACTTCACGTGTTCAGTATGAGGTTCTTCGTGGTAATACAACAATCAAAACAACACTCACTGTGAGCTGCAGCTCTTAATTCTGGTGTATTTATTTATCACTAATGTTCACATTTTTACCTTCTTACTAAAAAGTGTGGTTTTATCCAGCGGGGCTGAAACAATGCCTTCACCAAATGCTAAATGCCAAATGCTGGGGAAAAATAAAACGTGCTCCTTTTAAACTGCGTTTAGAGAAATTACAAATAATAGTTTCTTACTGAAGAAAACGTTCTCTCCCACAGCTGTACCTTATCAAATTGGCTGTTATTCACTTGGGAGCGAGGATCATGAGCGTTGGCAAGCTTTTTGGCAGGATGGGGGCATCACAGCTGAATCCAATCCTGTCCTCACCCAATGACCACACATACCATTTTCTAGCAGTGGTCACCGGATAGCGATCAGGAAGAGAAATCTTATTTGAATTTCCCCTTCCCGAAGCCAGTGCTCCACTGCCTTTACTGCCTGAAATTAGCTGGGATCAAACCTCCTATCTTCCCGATCTGTATCCACTGAGCCATGGAGAAGCATCAGGATTTATTATACATATTATTATACATAAAAAGGAGAGAGGCCCACAGGTCCATCAGTTCCATTCCTGTGGATTCTCTGCTCCCAAAACGTACCTCACATCTGTTAAGGACATATCCAATGGAGTTCAATTATATTTTGCACCACTCATAACTCATGGACTATCAACAGAGCATCTTTTGCACAAATTATTGAAGCTAAACCCATTTCACCTATTTAAGTCGTTGTCAGTAAAGGGTCAACTGAAGGTAACTTTCATGTGCTGCTCTCTTACATGGGAAAAAATGTTTTGGAAATGTACAGAGATTAGGTTTGTGGTCGGAATATTTTGAACACTTTAGGAGTAAATCATCAAGTATGAAAGGATTTTCCTTCCCAGCAACAAACAGTTAAACTAATGACTCATCACCAAAGGTCAGAGGCAAATTAACAGCACTAATCGGAATTGAGAAAACATAATTAACATCTACATCTGAAACAATTGAAGTTCACTGAATCCTCCTAAGCTTCACCCAAGGGCTTAATAGGATTGGTGGCCAATTATCAAATGAAAGCAACCAAATTCCCTGTAAAACACTTTACAGCAGCTAGTTTGGCCAAATACTATGTTATCTGCTGGATCAAGCGACCTAATGCTGCATAAAACCTTTTTCTTTTTTTAAAAAAAACTATTTAAATTACAAGGACATCTGTTGACGAGTACAAACATCTGAAGCCCCCATACATGTGGACCAACCAACATTCACTCTATGAGAGGGGCAAGATCATAAACGGGTTTGGGCTACAGCCACCATCTGGATCAACAAGACTGGCAACACTTTAAAAAACAAAGATGTCTCTGTGTTAATTTAGATAAACTGGCTTCCTCTGAAAAGAGGGTCCATTGACTACATGAAACAGAAGTTAATCTGTAAATTGATGATCGCTTCATCAGTCTCCAACAATCAGAGCTGTCTTAGTAAATTCCACAATGGTGGACAGTGGCTCCTCAGACATTGTGTTGCTCTAAATGAACTGGACAGTTACTGGTCTTTTCCTGCAGTGAAAGTGCTGCAAATAAAGAATTGGAACAAGGGAGCAGAAACAAAGAGATGTCCTTTATCAACCAAGTTTGTTACCTTTGCACCGCAGAAAAAGAGAACCACTGTCTCGTACATACAATGGAACTAACGGTTGGTGCGTTACGAACCTTTCAAGAAGCTGGGATCTCCCCTGTCTTCCTCCAGAGAGAAAAAATATTGAGCGAGAGAGAGCGAGACAGAGAGAGAGAGAGAAAAAAAATCAGGTTGTAATGAAAGGTCAAAGTGCAAGGTTTGAACTGGTAACTTAGTGTTTGTTGTTCTTCCGCTGCCCCCCACCCCTCCTCCAATTTTGGTCACCGAGCAACCAACGTTGACTGAGACTTTTATTCACTTTAAAACAATGAAAATAAAGGCTGTAATTCCTTTGGAGCTCCCAATGTTTACTGGCTCCAGGTCTTCACACAGTTGAGGCTTTCTACTCCCAACAGAACTCCGATTGTTAAGTATGACCATTTGCAACGAAGTGCACATTAACTTCCAACAATTATTGCAATGCTACCAAATAATATCGGCATCTTTCTTTCAACTAAGTGACCAATGCCTCACTGGGTGAATCTGGCCTCATGGAGCAGTTACAATTACTCTATAAATTAAGCCACTTCACCATTAAACACATTGTTGTTTTAGCCTGATAATTACGAAGGGAAAAAAAACCCAATCATTTTAAATTCGATCAAATGCAGCCATTGATGTGAGGAAACAATTTAGACAGTGAAAAAAATGTGGTTTCCTGCCAGATTGAAAGGAACGTTGCAGACTGGGGCACCACAAAGCATTTGTGGAAATGATTCTCTCCAGTGGGCGTCTCTACACTGATTCAGTCTGTGGTACTCAGTTATCAGCAGCCCCTTCTCTCACCCCCTCCATCACTCTTTGCTCTCTGGGAAGGATGGAACACAAGAGCATCACATTTCAGCAACACGGTTTATACCACATTCACCACAACAATGTCACTGACTGCAGCACTGCTGTGTGAGTGTGTTGGTGGGGAGGTCAGCACTTTCAGAGGCTGCAGGATAAATGATGGCATAATAAGAATAATTGATGGCATAATAATAAATAATATTGTGATTTTCACGTCAGGAGGATGTCTCAAAGGATCCACTGTAAAAATTGTCACGACTGTATTTTGTAGGCGAGTGCTGCAACCATTCTCTCTTGTGCAACTCGAGGCATTAAAAAGCAAGAGCGTGGCGAGACTGTAGCTCGTATTGCAAAATAAATATTACAGAGTGCGATTGCAGGCTGCCTACGTGAATTCGTTTCATTACTGTTTGAAAATAGCTGCTGAAATTGAGCGAATATTTCATATAAACAGAACCGCAATAACAACTGCATTCGCCATAAGAGAATTGCTAATTCAAGCTTAACATGAAAGGAAATTATGCGGCTTGCGTGAATGTGCTGAAATTCCAAAAACAACATTCTCACATGTAAGAAACTCTCTAAACATAAATATTTGCAACGAGCCATAACACACACATCTCTCCTCTATGTGTGGGTCGTACGGCAAGGGTGAGGAATATTAAGCAGCGACGACTTTGGGCAGAGTGAATGGTGTGTGGAACATGGAGACCTTGTGGTAACAAGGAGTTCATGAATATAGCAAAATGCATTAAGACTGGCGTGTTAATAGGAAAAGGGAAAGAGGTTTCTGCAGGTTTTAAAAGAAATATTTTGAGCTGACATTAAAGTGGTACAGATTTATTGATCATTTCAAAGATTGCACAGCACTATTGGAAGTCTCCTGGTCAACAATCCGCCAAATAAAAATGAGTCATTCACTTCATGGCCTTTTGTGTGATGTTGCTGTTTGCAAATTAGCTGCCACATTCACCTACAAAATACACAGTCAATGCACTTTACAGTATATCCTATGAAGAGTTTTGACGTGCTCCCTGCAGCCAAGGGTGCTTGAGCAACTGCAAGGATTATTATTAATAATAATACAAAGTAACTACAGAAAACATGAACCATCAGTTCTGCGAAGCTATTTGAAGTTTGACTGCTTTTGTCATTTAGCATTTAGTTCATAATCAATCTCAAGTTTAACCTTGTCTTAGTTCAGGAAATATAATTGAAGCCAATGCATGTTTCTATTTAGTGCTAAACTTAATCTGCCCCAATTATTATAACTGCACCTTTACAAAACCCAATAGGACTGGGAGAAAATAACAAAGCTGCCATCTGACAGAGGGATTCATGGTGTAAATCATGCCAATTTAAGACTGTTGTACGCAGGATTATTTTTGTGTCTCTTGTGATTCAGTAATTCAAGTGAAGAGCTGCCACCTCCTGGCATTTTGTAGTAAAGCAATGTTGATTCTGAAAGAGAAGTTATCGATGAGCCACGCAGCTTTAGGTGACAAGAGCATTCTTCACTCAGCTTGTTTTCTCTTTCCACCCCCCCACCCCCACACCCCCCCCAAAAAAAAACACATTTCACTAGAAATAAGTAATTTTATAAAATTTATAGTATAAAAAGGATTGAGCATATCAAATTCAAATTAATTTGTGGGCTGGATATAATGTTACATAGTGATACGTCCTTGTCATCTCTGCAACGCCACCTCACTCAAGTGGTCATTTTTCATGTGCATCACCATTTGATTAGAATTCTTGCTTCGGAACGTAATCCAATTGCCCAACATCCACTCACACACACACACACACGCACATTTCTCAACCAAGGATTCCCTGAAAAAACGATCAAAGCAGAAACGCCATCTGATATTTTCTGTTTTCTAGCCCAGCCAAGTACCAAAAGTAGATCAATTGTTCAATCAACCCCAGTGCGCTGATTTTGACGAGGCGGGCAGTGTCCTGGTCAAACATTAGCACAGTTACCACGTTGCGGCTGATTGACCTAGTAATTTACCTTTAATGCTCTGACACAAACCAAACAGTCGTTCCTCATCGTAACCAGACACTATGTGGGAGAAGTGTTCGCCTGATGGAGCAGCAAATTTATCCAGGAAGCAGCAGAGCCAAACGGTCCAGGAAGTTTCCAGGTTTGAGGATCAAACTAAATGCCTCACCAGGAACGTACATATTAATAGGTTTTATATTATTAATACATTTGGAAGAAATACTGTACAGGATAAAATAGAATAATTACAGAAAGTTTATTTTAATCCAAATCCAAAAAAGCTCCGATTGAACTACAGACCCAGCCACAAAGCCCTGTACTACATGAGGAAAAATCAATCAAAAGCTAACTATCCTCCCTTTATAATAAATACATAACTTGTTGTCTGGGAAGCACCCAATTTACACTGAGCGACCTTAAAGGTTCCTCTTTATCATATCTCTTTGACAGTTGGCTCCCATACAACTTTGTGATGTTAAGAAAGGCCACACTTATTAACTGCACTGAGGGAGTAAGAGGTTATTGACCATTGCAGGCAGATTCTGAATCGCAGAGGTCCAAAGAACTTCATCTCTGTATTCGTCCATAAATTGTACAGCGAAAAACTAAAATGAAATGTCAGACGCAACTATTACCACAGTAATTCATAAAACCTGCAACAAATCAACTTTATTTTTTTTAAAATGAGTTTCATTCCATTCACTGCTGTCTGTCTTTGCAAAAGTTCCAACAGATCCAATCACAAACTGCTAACAACTTTCCTCAAGATCATATGCCAGCCTTTCCCGATCCAGGAATACACAGACGAGTTACATACAAGCAGCAAAAGAAGAGAGAGAGAAACATTTAATACCGAGCTCCCCTAATGCCCAGGTATGTCAACTCCTGCAGGACGCTGCACTGAACCGCACACCTGTGAGCTTTCACATTCAAATCCCAACTTGGTTTGTGCAGTCTGGCAGATGCCTCACATCAGTGATGGTAACGCTGTAACTGGCGTCAGGAGGATGTCTCAAAGGATCCACTGTAAAGTGTAGTAACTGTGTATTTTCGCTGCAACCATTCTCTCTTCTACAACTCTTCTGAGCTAGGATTCCCATTGATCCCGTTATTAGTGTGCCCGATGAGTGCAGAAATTGAAACCTTGGTGATGACTTGGCCTTTCTAAAACACTGGATCCACAGCCACGCCTCAGAATCAAACACACTTAGTGCTACAGAATCACAGATGCCCACAGCACTGTTCCCTGCCGTACAAAATTGCCAACATTCCAGTGGAGAGGGATTTGGAGAGGACACTCCACTTGTTGGAACCCATCTTATACATCGAGAATTGTGCTGACTCTTTGGAATATCTCACATACCAATGTATGAGAATAGCTGTTCTCAGCGTTCTCCTCATTTCAGTCACTAAGAGATCTTAAACATATTAAGAGCAATATAGGGGCTGAAGTTTGGGACGTCCTCCCCGACGTGAAAGGCGCTATACAAATGCAATTTGTATTGTATTGTATAAATTTATTGAAATTGATGTCAGAGCAAGGTCTGAGTTGATCGGATTTAAAACGATACAAATGCTTTGCCAGTATTGCTGACTCAGAAATCGACAGCGTCTGTTTTTTTCTGTTCTGTTCTATAATGGTCACGAAGCACTGGTGCCTTTGATTAAAAAGTGTAATTTGAGATTCCAGAAGTTGATTATGCCAAATCAATCCAGTTTTTTCGCTTCGCCTCAAAATCATACACTGTCAACATTCTGTGAAGCGCTTTGAGACGTCTAGAAGACGTGAAGAGAGCTATATCAAATGTAAGGATTATTATTATTAGCAGTAGTAACCAAATACATCAGATTGCAATGTCTGCCTTGACTGAGTTCAGCGAACTCGGTGCAAACCAAGGAACAAGCCCCAACACCTGAAATTTTCTCCTTCTGCTCCGCTGGTTGTATTTTCGAAATGTAGCAACGCAAAGTGTGGTGGTTCTAAAGCCGCGGTAAAATACCTAAGACTGGTTAAGATAAGAAGAAACAACGTCTATACCTGTCTCATTATTTGTTGCTGGCGGGTGACCTGGTTTGGACTTATCAGTGTTGTTAAAGCTCTGACTGCGTCGGTTACTTGTACTGGATGTCACACGAGTCTTGGTCTCGCTGCCTGCAGCTGACACTCTCGTTGTGGGACCTGGAAGCCTAGGAACAAACAGATAAAGGGAATAAACAGGAAACACAGAACCCAGGTCAAACATCTGTGACACAGAGCCATGCAGCCAGTCTGCCATCAGCTGAAACAGGATTGCTTCAGCCAAAGTATGATATCAATCACACAGCACTGGTTTTAATTCAGACACACACAGTTCTGCCAGAGTGTGTTGCCCTAGAATGCAGAGGATTAAAGCAACCACAAACCAATGAGTCAACATGAAGCCATAAAATCAGATATTGGAGAAAACACAAGAAGACATGGTGGACTGTGGAAAAGCCAGCTCTCAACACTGTAAATGCTGACGATACATAAATTATTGATAACATTAAGACCCATTAAAAAGCATGGGAGGAGGTTAGCATGCCACGCACTGTCCTTTTTATAGTAAAATGAAGCGAAAGAAGCATCTGTGTCCTGACCTAGAACACATTCAAATTTTTCAGTGGGCCAAGACCTGGATGAATTGCTAAGTCCAATTGTTTGAATTTCCACAATTGTGTACAACTACGCAGTCTCAGCTGCTTGACAAGCATCCTTGACTAAATGCAACAGAGAACCCGATGTTTTAATGTTCCGCACCCTTGTTCTCCATTTCCTGCATAAAAACTAATTGAAGTGCGATGAGGCGTGCAATTCTACATTCCAGGCTATGAGCAAGTCAATTAATTGATGCCAACGAAAGCACTTATCGTTAGTCTTTGTATTTACTGAAAAAACACGAACTGACCAAAGTCCAGGGGTTTACACCTGACCCTGAATCATTTCACATTTTAAATCCCAAGGGAACACGTCTGGTTTTGAGAATGGGTTGGAATTGAGGTGAATAAATCATTCTGTGGGTGAGGTTGTGAAAAAGGATGCAATTCAGATTTACACGAAGTGGAACAAGGACTGCAAATAGATGGACAGCAGATGGATAGGAACCCCCCTTCCCAACAATTAAACTCAGGATTAGAACTTTTTTTGTTAACCGACCAGGGTTCTTCACTATATGGTGGATCGTGTGCACGTTAAGACTTGGTTCACTGTCCAGGTTCGATGAACATTGGCTACTTTTGAATGATCTACCCCAGGAAATTACCTGTGAGCCACCTGTGAAATTACACCCAATGCAAACCTCCACTTTCTCGAGAAGAAGGGATCAATTAAGAGAAAGGGGCAGGAGTGAGGGAGCATTCACTTATTTACTTCGAAGCTGAGCTACCAGTCCTGACAATGATTGCCCTGCAGGATCAGTGGTTATGGGTTTACCAACTGAGCCTCGGAATGCTCACTCCTTTCAATTTTTATACATAAGAATCTACCTGTTATCCCCGAATTATTTTTGAATGTGGTTTATCATCTGACAACACAGCTTGTTAACTTCAGACAGTTTTATAATAGCTGAAGATTATATTATAGCTTATAATATCAAAGTGCTCCGGGACCCTACCCTGCATGGAGGATGCTATATGAATGCAAGCTGTTGTTGTTATAGCTAGAAAGGTGCACAACATGTATGGATTTTCATGAACCAAAGACTTGTTTTGGCCAAAGAACACGTCAAGTGCAAAAACAAATCCCAATTGTGCTGAAGGTTAGATTAACACTGAGCTCATTTTCCTGCCATCAAACCATTAGATATGTGTTTCTCTTCATCTTAATTAATTTTGTTAAAAGCATTTTCCATTGCTGTTTACAATTAATCTGATTTCACAGCGGTAGTTTGGAAACAGAGCAGTGGGACCCTCTGGGACTCAGCGAAAATAAGCATTTATCATGAGTTTTTAAACGAATCAGAAATGTTCTTGCTCCCAACTTGTAATTTTTAGGTTTTAGGGATTTTCATGAAGATTTGTTTTCAAAAGCACTGAATATTCTTGAGACTATCCAAAATTATCTTCATCGGAAGATTATACTGGCATTGCTCCTCAAAGCCAAATCCAATTTCTGGTGTTCATATACAGGTAGTACATTTCCACCAGAGGTCACTAGATAGCAGAAGAAGAATAAGCCGGGTTGATTTTCCCCTCACAAAAGAGGGACAGGTGACAAAGGCTCTTCAGCCCATTTTATCTCGTTCTTCCGGATTACTCACCTTCCATCCTTCCAACACATCATCTCACTGCTTTTTAAATGAGTCCAATGTTCTGAACCTCAACCACCCTTCCTTGGTAATCCACTCCAATCACTAAATTACCTTCTGGTGTCTGTCCTGAAATCGCCCTTTGAAATCCTAATCCTGTCTTTCGTTCTGCTGCCTTGGTGCATCTGAAAGCAAGTCTGAGCATTGAGTTTAATTGTAGCATCCTCGTGGGGCCCCAGTTGAAATCAATTAATTCAGGCCCAGACTGCGATTAAACCTGGAACATTCCCAGTTTGGATGGCTCCGCTGCACTAACTGAATAAACTAACTGAGGAGGGGAGAACTTAAAAAAATTGTTAATTGCTTTTACTCCTTAAAGTACTTAATGTTGTTTAGCGATTCCAAAACATTTCTTTCAACGATATGACATGTGTGAAGTGAATTTTGGGGTATCATAAAACAGAAAGCTAATGTTTTTCTTAGCTCGAGGTCATGGAACATGTTGCAAATTATTTTCAGCACAGAAATCTTCCTGTTCACTCCAAAGAATTACAGATGCTAATGACCCAAAGCTTTTCAGTTGCACGGATCCAAGGCTAAGATTGATATCAATACTGTTCAATTGTTTTACTAATCAAGTTGTGACATTAGCATTAAAAGTTATTGTTAAAAAGAAATATGCACAAACATTTCATTAGTAATAGACGCAAAGCAGATCAGCAACTCCAGGTGGGTTTTTGAAAGGAAGAAAATGTTTGTTACAGGCGGGTTATGCTTGGCTCAAGAGGTTGGACTTTACATGTTAACTGTAGTTTTTCGAGGCACTTTAAAAAATCAAGGGGTTTTGCATTAAAAAAAAGGAAAGTCTATAATTGTTGATAGTAACAGGCAGGGACTGCGGTTAAGACAAACATGCAGCTTTGGTCCCTTTAGAAGGGCTGACCATGCTTTTAGTCATACTCGTGTCCTGCTCAAATCTAAATGGAGGAGAGGCAAAAACAAGGAATGCCAGCTGACCTAGAACTCTTTTTCTGAGTGGGTGCAATTCTTGTGCTTGGGGATGATAACCTGGATGACACACTGTATGACAGAAAAGAAGAGAGGAAGAAATGAGCATGAGTTAAAAGGAAAGAGCATCAGAGAAAGGCTACAGCAGAGAGCATGCAACATGAAACATCAAAGGGCTTCAGAAACTGAAAAACTCCAAATCTCCGCTGAACGCTATATTGAGTCATGAATGAATGTGTGTGTGCGAGCGAAGTTGTAGATAGACTGCCACGACACATCCAGAATTCGTTATTTATAAAACCTTTTGCAAATCCCGTAATTTAAACACTACGGTGGTTTCGGGATCTGATTAGTTCTGAAATTACTTGATCAGCACATTGACCTCCATAACGCAGGCTATTCCTGTCAATGTCTACGCCAAATAGGTGTAACCAAGCCCAAGTCAAACCCTGTTCACGTCCATGCCAATTCAGATATGCGTCACATTAACCTGGTGGAAACTGAAAAACGAAACTCCGCTTTATAAACTTCAAAGGAATAATCCTATTATTAGCTGTCCTTCGGTACTATAATCATGTTTCAGTAAAAGCTCATAAAACTCAATGGGACTGTCGAAAAGAAGATTCTTATCGATGCATCGTGCCATATTCGTTTTAATTCAAATATTTTATCCCTCGCATTGAAAAGGGAAGGTTCCAAATACAAGAAGTCAGAGGCAAAATCACCATCAGACCATTCTCTCACACCTTCTGGTGGATTATCAGAGAAAACTAACCTAACAGAGGTCAGGGAATGTGTCAGCTGGCTGTTATTTTAACTCCATTTGGTGCACGAGCCCACTAAGCAAGGGGAAAAAGAAATCAAGTTCAATATATTAGAGGGGAGGTCAGTGTCTTCAACGCTCCACAAACCAGCGTGGTACTGAACAACGCAGACTGACAATTCCAGGTTTGATCCTTTGGGCTGCGTTAGCAGATTTCAGCCAAGGCAGTGGAATACTGCAGCACTCTGCAGTCAGGATCAACCACAACTCTCGCTCCTTACAGCTTTCCATTGATTCTGTCTGAAGATTTTTTTAAAAAGTGTTCAACTGTTATGCCACTGATATCTTCCTCCCCGAGTCACTGGGAGGGCTGCCAGTGGCCAAGGAACTATACCGCACAACACTTAGTGCTTTGAGAAGTGAGACGCCTAGAGAAAACTCAATTTGAGGGGAATCTCTTGCTGCTAAATGGCTAAATGCTATACGTAACAAGGTACAGCATGATGACTGAGCCAGGAAGACTCCAAGTTCGAGACTTGATTTATGCTGAGTGTGCCTGAATTTGGAAAAGCAGGAAAACTTGTACCAATGAAAAAACATCAATCTGCTTCCTCTTTGTAGCAAGACACCATGCACGATTCAGTTACAAATCTCACTGTGAAATAATACAACACAGATGCTGGTAATCGACTGTGACCAAAGTGGATAAAATTGACAGAATTCCACAATATTCACTGCCTGATTTGAGCACAGCATTAACCCTTGTCCTCAACAATAAAATATTACTGTTGGAAGGAGCACCACGGCGTGCACAAAGATTAAATTCATGAAGTGATATCTGGATGGAAACGTAACCTCACATCTCAATTAAATTATCAAGACCACAGCAGTTTGCCAAAAGCGAACAAGCAAGAAAATTAATAACTTTCATTAACTTAGTTCTATTTCTCGTTGCTATTTTTGTTCCATTTACAATTGAGGGAAAAATAAAATAATGGTTTAAATCCGTTAAGCAATCTGCAGTCACCTTTGGAATATTAAAGAAAGGATAATCCAACCGAATGCTAAATTCAGATTTTTGCATTTGCACAAAGAATGGACATGTGCGGCACTTTTAAGAGTTTACTAAGTCTAATAAAAAAAAGTAGTTTTATTACTGGCCAAGTTTTATTACAATGCCATGCCATTTGCAAGGCACCACAATAAGACAAAGTTGCCAGCAGACTGCTGACCCATTCTTCACTTGGCTGTTTCGGAATTGGAAAAACAAATCGATTACCCCACGTTTATCCAACAGCAAGGCGGTTGACAAAACATCTTGGCCACGGTATACCTTGGATATTTCCCATCAGCAAGACGTTCGAAGTTGCTTAATAACTCATTTTAAAAAAAAACTTGATCGAATTTTTAAATTGGAAAGACATTTCATTATAAGCATAAAATCAGAGCAAACCTGGACTGCATTTCCAGTTGTGCTTTTTGCTGTTGCTGCTGTTGGCACTGTTGTTGCACCTGGGTAAGGGGCTGGGTGCAGGGTGTGGCTTGGACCTGCTGCTGAAGGCCAAGCTGGTATTGAGGGATGTGATGCTGGGGCCCCTGTTGCTGAAACACGACTGAAGACTGTTGTTGCTGCTGCTGTTGCTGCTGTTGATGTTGCTTTTGTGTTTGTTGCTGCTGCTGTTTATACCGTGAAAGACTGAAGAACAGACCCAGAATGGCCTTCAAATTCCCATTCCTGATTTCTGAAAGTGATCAAAGATTAATAATAATTCACTAGAAGGTCACACGGCATAGGATCAACTTCCTTTTTTTTTGGCGGTAAAATACTTTTTAAGGGATGAAACGGCTTTGGTGTCCTACATGATTTATATCCTTTATCTCTACTCCGTAAACAAATGTGCTCCGAAACTACAATAATCTTTGAAGAGCTCAGTTTTCTTGGAATGCCACGCAGCACACATTTTCTTTTTAGAAAAAAACAAATAAAAACTGACAACTAGAACTGTTGCTTTCACTGTGAACCTAACCAAAATAAACACAAGAACATTTGGTTGTAGCATTCACTGAGTAAACGGTCACATGAAAATATAATTATATTACTACTGTCAGGAAGCATTTATTTTGTCTTGAAAGGGCTCACGTCACTAAGTGGTTTGACAGACCATTAAGTGGAGGCAATTTACTCTATATTCCTTTTGTTTGTATTGACTTCCTTCCATAACAAGGTGTCCAAAATAAACTCAAGACAATCACAGACCTGAGGATCAGGTAATTCAGATTTGAGTCTATCATCTCTGGTGTGTGAAGCAGGTAGGCACATCATCAGTAGACCATCCTGTTAGGAACACCAATCATTCTGATTTTAATTGAATTACTGTATCAGTTTTTGCAGATTGGCCTGATTGAAACCCACCACCATAACCAGATGTTCAATTGAACGAGGTCATACAGAAGATGTTGTTGCAGATGTTGCAAACCACAATCAGTTAAACCAGTAGAAAGCCACAAAACAAAGTTACTGAGTAATGTAGGATGATAGCAAAATCCGAAAAAAAATAATGTTCAGATGTGCTGCATTCTCCACAAGGGGAAAACAATTGCGAACTTTGTCTCTTTAAAATATTCCAAAGTTCCATCGTAAAATCTGAAAAAAGAACCGCAGAACACGTGGCTACCAAATTTAAATAAATGTAAGACTTTTTTTTCAAAGTCCTGCACTACTTCCATCTTCAGATTAAAGTTATAAAGCTAAGACGCTAAGAAAATGAGGGCCTCTAGAATCCTTGTTAATCTTAGTCTTCAATGAAGACAAAATGGCTGTGAATATTTGAACTCTAGAGTGAAGACCATATATATATATATGCCTAACCTGGAGACCCTGTAATTATGTAATAGATTGTCCTAAGGGACCATCTGCTTGCTCCACTATTAAAATCCAAGGTTTCCTTTCATGCTGAAACATGCAGAAATTAAAACTAAAGAGGCAAATTGCAAAAAACAGGAATTAGATAGTGACAAACTCAATCTCTTTGCATTTTTTTGGTGAATTAATCAAGTTAATCCTCAGTGGGTTTTCTACTCAAAATAAATTTGTGCAAAATACATTCTTTCTCCTAAAAATATCTGGAGGAAGTTGTGAGTGAATGATGCTAAAACGATGGTTTAGTTTAAGGACACCGTTTATATTAATGACCTCCACAAGCATCAAGTGGTCATGTTTTATGCCTCTCCTAATCATTTTTAATTGTTTTCGAGCTGAATTTCAAATGTTGTTTTGCAGGATGCTCTCTCGCTCGAGCCAAAGCAATTCCCAAACCACCAAAAAGTAGTTTAAAGTCACATCTGAATGACAATCTGAAGCATAGTGTTAGTTGCAACAATGGCAGAACACCGAGATGAGAGTCAATCACAGCAGTAGGAAGGTGCAAGGGTTTGACAGGACTTGGGATGGAGGAGGAGGACCTTGAAGTTGTTCTATTGGGAGACAGGGACCCTGGTGAAGGCAGGGGACATATGAAATTTTGTGAGGCATAGGAGCCAATGAGCTTTGGGTGAGCCTGACTGCTGATGGTGGAGTTGGCAAAGCCGTTTTATAGAAGTGTTATGAAAATCACAGGATAAACTGGGCAGCAGATACAAAGGATCAGACACATTAACTAATTCACAAGCGAACAGACATATTCTATATAGAAATACTAAAATCACTCAGGATCAGACACATTCCACGCTTGCCACTAAACCAGGGATTAGACACACAGTCACCACTGGTAGATAGCGGGAAACATTTCACTCACCAGCTGGGGAATCTGGGATTAAATGGATTTTCCTTCTAGCGATCTGACTACTATCGGCAGTTCCCAAAGGGAGGCCAGGATCAAATTATGGGACTAGCATTTTTATTAAAATAGTTCTCCTCCAATAGGGCCCTTTCACTCGCTTATTGGAAGGTGGCGTATTCACAGCATTCTTTTGGAGAGGGAACAGCACATTCAAAAATACATCATAATAGTTCTTATTAAAAATGTAACTGGTGTAAGACAAGAAAAAGCCACATTCATCAGCCACTCTTCACATGAATCACACGCACCTTGCAATATTGTGGAGTCTCCCTAAATTTCACAAAGAATATATTTCCTTCTGCAATTTTGTCCTCTATGTTGAGTGGTCACCAATATTCCTCTAAAGTGAACTGAGAGTGGCTTTGTGGACAGGACTAAACAAACCATCAATGGTCCAGTCATAAGGACTTCTTTGACTAACAAAAATCTCTCTTTATGTCCTCCAACAAACTCACTCACTAAGGAACTCTAATGCTTAAAATTATATTCAAAACCAGCGTGAAATCCATTACAATGCAATATACATTGATATAGTGCCTTTCACGTCAGGAGGACATCTCAAAGCACTTGCTGGGACTTTAGAGAGACCTGGACAATAAGCAACATTGGTCTTTATTGCCTCAGCCAGATCCGAAACCACATTATATACGGCTGTTTCTTACCTTCTGAAGAGAGGCCCTGTATATTCACTCCCTTTGCGGCCAAGAAACTCAGGCACGCATCAATATTTTCAATCTATTCAGAGACAAACATACAAAAAGGAAACATGAGTTTAAGTCACTTGTATTTTGACAATATGGGTAGATATGCTAGACAAACAAAACACTGCACACAAAAACAGAAGTCAATGAGTACACTCAGCAGGTCAGGCAGCATCTTCGGAGAAAGGAAAGTGGGTCAAGGTTTCGGATCCACGACCCTTCTTCTGAACAACAAAACAGTACTCCGTGTTTACATGTTGTTCTGCATTATCTTTATTGTGGTTTCCCTCATTCACTGAATGTACCTCAGCCTCCAAACACAATAATCAAGCAACTATAATGGCTTTATTGGGAGCCATGACATAATGGATCTTGGGTTGAGCCTGACCACCGACAAGAAACATGGAGTCAGTTAATTGAGAAGTATTCAAGGCATACAGTTAGGAAACAATCCTGGAAATGGAAGACTTAAGGAGAAGAAGTGGATGTAATTTTTAATACAAAATACAGACTTTGGGGTGGATGATCACAAATGTAAATGTAAATGCTTCATCTTGGATGGCAATCGCAAGAGATGTTCCTCATAAAGAATGTGATATCGGTGCTGATTTGAGAGAGTGCCGCATCTGTTCACTTGAGCCAAATTCTCAGCCAAGTTGAGCGTGGGCTTTCCTGGGAAGTCGGGCTGTAACAGTAAGCCAGTTGGGGCATCTGACACATGCTTTAGTCACAACATTCTTTGGATTGCATAAATGAAGCATTTAAAAAATCTCGTAAAACATTGTTGGCATTTAAATGTGTAAAAATAATCGTGGGTTAATCACACCATTTTTATATTAAATTAGCTGTGGCATATTTGTGTTTCACTATTTTCGTTTGCAGGTCCTAAGTAGAGGCAGAGAATAAACTGCAAGCTGTCAATAGTTAACTAACATCTCTTTACTGCAATGTAAGGACCAGCATTTTTAACACAGTATTGCAGTGCTGTGTCCTCTAAAGACAACACTCACTCTCATAACCACAACGGGCAAAATTCTCAGGTCCTGCTCGTCACTTGAAGTGAATTCTGTTCAGTTAGAAAACGTACTTACACATAGACACTGCTGCAAAATGGTCAAAGTGCACTGCGACACTAAGGCCGAAATTGCTGACTTGTGATGGGATAGTCAAGATTAGATAAACTGGCAGAAAGCCATGTGGACTGCACATTGTGAGTCTTGCCCCCTGATTGTGGAATGAAGTGGTATTGGCTGTGCTCATAAACAAGCCTGCTCTGACTCTCCAACTCAGGAAGACAGCGAGGAGTTGGAGAAAGAAAGAGATAGATGGAGAGAAACAAACATTTGAACCATGGTTTCAGTTTGACTTTTCAGAAGAGGTTGCGAATCCAGCTTTGGAGGATTTAAACAATTCACACTTCTTCCTCATTGTAATATGCGGCCATTCGACCAATCTCCAGCTGCGCATTCACAGATTTGAACCACTGTTAAAATCAAAATTGATTATTTAAAACAAAATCTTAAGCATTTAAAAACAAATAATTATTTTTTGCGTACAAACAGCAAATCTCCATTCAGCCAGTATATTGTTGTTCTGCTTATTCTAACAAACGCTTCTGTCTTTTTAAAGGCATGTGGCAGCAGCAATGTTAAGCGAATATGTGCACCATCAAAACAAGCACATAACAAGACTTCAATTACATTATGAACTCTTCCCACCTCCTATGTCAATCCAGCATGATTGAGACTCCCAAAATAAAAGTACCGCAGGGTAAAATCTGCATTCTGGAGTTGCACCAGTACAGATACTCACCTCCCCTGAATGTATTACAACATTGAGCCTCTGGTATCAATGCGATATAAACCTGGGCCTGGTGCCAACCCCAGTCTGCCTTCAATTTGTGCCACTTGTCTCCAGGCAACAAGGCCTGGTAGTAGATGACGTAATGTCACCACTGGCTTGGACCTGTGCACGTGACTGGACGCTTTTGATGTAGGCTCCACCACAGTGTGACCTGACCCATGGCAGTCCTGGAGCTCACATCTAGGCAGAACCCAATCCGTTCTAAGTTAAAATTGTAAATGAAAGTTTTAAAATACACAAGGCTGAGGAAAAGGGTACATTCTACCATTGCGCTGTGCTTTTGGCTGCCATTCAAGTGACATTTTTAGTTTCACAACCCTTCGAAACCCACTTCACATGCCGCACGACATCAAAACAGGGGTATCTTAATAGGTCAAAAAACCCTGTGAATCTCTCCAAAATCAGGAAGCTCCACAGACATTATGCTGACCACAGACATAATGCTGTAGCTAAAGGGCACGAAAGAGCCACCAAGCCTTTAATAAACAAACCTTTCAGACTTGAACTGGTTGACGTGGCTTACTCATGTAGTCGTGACCAGCTACTCTTTACTCTTCTATAAATAGAATTCTATTCAGGCTATTTAAATTCAAGCAGGATCGCAGGATGCCAGGCAAACAGTTGTCCAAACAGCTTTTGTGCTAAATCTGTTTTGTGGCAGGAATAACACTCCTTCACTTTGCTTTTGGCTTCTCAACCTTCTGAAACCTTTCTAATGTTCTCCGGTTTGCAGAGAAACAGGTATCCACAGGCAACCATCTTATATGCCTTTTTAGGTACTTTTTGTGCAGTACAATGGCAAAATTCCAAGGAATATTTCTTGGGGTGGGGTGTGCAAGTTCTAAATAATTCTTTTCTGTTGTCATAATATTTACCACAAGGCAATTGTAACCTATTGCTTTAATCTGAATCAGAATTAATCTTAATTTAATAAACGATAACTGAGACTTGAAAACCCAAACACAGGCACACGCACCTTTGGTGTCGGGGGAAGGTAAAGAATGGGTTAACGGGATAACTGAGAGATCAAATGCCTGACCTTTTCATAGAGTTAATTACACAAAACTCCTTCTGGAGCTCCAAGTGAGAAAATAAATCCTTTGGACTGTTTTATGTTGGGTGGTCTTATCTGACACTAAGAGAAAATAGATCAAAATACAGCATATCCAATTGGTCCGTTTCATTTTGTTAGCAGACTAAAAATGGATCCTGCATTTTTCCTCCCCCCCAAAAAAATCTCTGCAATCCCTAGGCACGTTTAGGTCTTTTCAAAGCATCTCTTCCAATAGTAGGTAATAGGCAGACATATATGTAATCATTATAAATAGATGTGTTTATAGTAGTGTATAAGAAAGCTGTGAATAACAGTGATGAGTCAAAACACATACACATAACTATCTGTGCCCAGGAAGAATGCAGCAGTCACACAAAATGCATTGGATGAAGTGCTCCACTAATATTTGATAGTGATTAGATAAAATCCTCACCAGCTGCATGCTCAAAGGCCATTAATTCGAATGTTACAAAAAAAAGCTGCAATTCTTTTTCATCAAGTGCTACTTCAACACACCCATGGGACAATCGTGGAGTTCAAGTTGCCAGTTGTACACCAGGGATAGCAGATACTTCCCCTGCAATATAGCATCAAAATAACGCTTTGAGATGTCTCGAAGACGTGAGAAGGCCATATATAAAATGCAAGGATTATTATTATCATGGCAACCCACGGCGTGGAGGTCAATCCTACAAGTTAGGTAGGAAACGTCACTGCTCAAATTAGTCAAAGTCTAAATATCAAGTTTCATACAATTGAATTAAGCAAGGTCACCAATTTCTCCAGCCCTTGCCACCCACGTTGGGCTCAATCCACACAACTATACCACTGTTATAAAAAGCTTTATAAAAAACTTCTATTGCATAGTACTGTTTTTCCCCCCCGCCCCCTTGGCTATTTTAATTGTAAGCTCCCTGCTGGAGCAGATTGACCACGCTTCAGAAACAGAGGGTGAGAGGAGGGTTAGGATGCAACAAAAAGAACAATTTGCATTTATACAGAGCCTTTCCTCACATGAGTGCACCTCAACCTGAGGCAAGTACCTTACTGCACGTGTAAACTGTTGGGTAAACTGGTAAGGGGGGAGGGGGATCTAAACCCAACTATTGAACCTTTTGATTATTCTTTCTAAATGCATTGTTACTGTTAAAAGTTTGTTTTTCGACAGTTTGTGGCAGAGCTACCCAACCAGGTTTGTAAATATACAATGGGAAGACCTTACCTCATATCTCGCACGTGATAACACTTTGACAATGGTTATGGCGGCGTTATTTCCCTTCTACAATGGGATTATCTGGCTGTAAACTAAAGGAAATGATCTGCCTCGGGATTATTATCTACTCTGCAAACTGGGCAGTCAGTACGCTTCAGGTCATGCTCACAATACAAGTAAAGAATGCAGTAAATTCCAGTTCAACTATAGTTCACTGAGCAATCCCAGGACTGCAAGCATTACTTGCAGAACATGTACAGTAGTTTTAAGAGCCAAAATTTGCTGGCTTCCTGGTTGGGCCACATCTTTACCAATTCCCCCCATCCCCCCCAAAAAAATCTGGCTAATAATATAGCAAAATGTCAAACATTACCACAGACTACTGCTGCATTACATTAGTCGAGGATTCCTCAGACGACTTTATTTAGCCTAGAAACATTCCCATTTAAAGTCTTCTTTGTTTTATGAAGTAGCTTCCAACCAAATATGAGGAGTGAGGAGTATTGGTGTGTGTGGGTGCTGAGCAGCGAATCCATTCCCCAAAGGGAGAAAGAGAAATTGGACTGAGAAATCGCCTACGAGTGATTTGAGTCAGCTGAGTAAGACATCATTCAGTCAATGCTTCACTTTGGCAGTGGGAGAAACCCCCTGGATTCATGTCTCTTGCAAAGTTGGCAAGTGGAGTGAATGGGGAAATGTCACATGGAGAGATTATAGGAGCTTTACTCCGAAATAGCAAAAGTACCAAATGAAACTCATCAACTCGTGGAATAAATATTTTGTACATTATTGACATGCCTTTGCTAAACGGGAGCTGAGGAATACAATTTAGCTGGCAGCCCTTCCTCGTTATACAAACAATTTCTTTTTACAAGATTGCACAAAAGGATAATTCAATTACAAATATAAAAGTTTAATCAAAGTGAGGAGACAAAAAGAGCTATTAACACTTTAATGGCTTGTTGCCCCTTTGTCTGGCCCCATGCTATTATATACTGGTTTAGGGTATACTTTCCCTCAATAAAACCATAAATATTCTTCAGAATGAATGTTCTTCTACCTTAGTTACCACTGTGCTATTTACCATGTGTCCAACACACACTCGTTTTCAAAGGGAGATAGATACCTGCCACAACAACTTCTGCTGTTTAATATTCAAGTCATTTTTCACTGGCCCTGGGGGAGCAATTAGGCATCATTTACTGCAATCTGATGGTGAACCAGTTTTGTTCTGGCCTAAAGCACATCGCTAATGATCTGCCTTCATATAGACGTCTGCAACAACACAGCTAAACTCAAACACATTCATACACAATTATAACGAAAATATCGGGTAAATACCAGCTTCCGACAGAAGGAGAGATGGCTAATTGTACTGCCCCAAAAAATAAGTATTCACTGCATTTCCTCCCTCTGAAACAAGCTTGTATAAACATTATCTCTGAACACGTTTCTGCAGTCTTATAGCAGAGGTGGTTGAGTAGATTGAAAATTACATCATTTTCCAATATCTGCTTTATAATCTAAGTTATTTGAGACGATAGTTTTAATTTGCACCCTGGAGGATTAGTTTAGCTCAGTTTTAAATATGATTATCACTTTATATTACTCTCCCATTCGCAACAGATGGGGGGGTTATGTTTCTCCGCTGAATTTCAGCAACATCAGCCACAAAGATCCATCTGTTATAGTTTACAAAACCAGTCTAAATATTCAATCAGTTTTGCTGATGGCACCATTATGGATCCTGTCCCAGGATGCTGTGCATCTTCAGAGACGATACGGAGAATACCTTACAGTCCAAACTCCATAAATACTAGCAAGTCAGTAATTCTAATTCCATTCAGACAGTATTTGTCCAGGATCTGCTCTCAAGAGTTCGGGGATCGTTGCAAGAGAGTGAACAAAATAAGAGGCTTGTAATAAGTGTCAATTATTCAAAATAGTAAATGTTCTTCAGAGATTCTGAGTTTGGCTATTTGTAACATCAAATATATATCTCACCCAGCCATTGTGTGAAACCCCCTCAAGAACTGGATCTGCATCACCAGAGGGACCTGCACACTCATCTCTGCACCATCAGTAGTTTCCAAAGTTAATTACATCAAGAAATGAAGCAAATCTTCAACACGTCACGTGAAACAAAAACCATTCAGTAAGAATACTGTGGCACCACTTTGTCAGCTGTGGAAGTCATTAGTAAACTAATCTAAAGATATTAAATACCCCTTCAAATGACTGTAAAATACTGTCACCCTGAGGCACACTGATCTGAATGAGTTTTGCTCCAACCAGCACGTAAATAAAACCTGTTATACGGAGAATAATGGATAAGCTGTGAGTGATTTCAAGGCTGCTGTATCTCCTGTTTCAGGTGATATGTTAAACTCTGAGAGCAAAGTGCATGACACCATCTGAATCTGGAAATCAGATTAGAACCTGAAGTCACTTTGCGATATTTTTTATTTATAAATATACAGCTTCGATTGTGATGCGTGCACATGAACGTGCAAAGAAGGGCAAAATATCCCCACCTTTTTGCCATTGGTGGGAACTGACATAGACAACAAGGATCAGTGGGTATCACGTCCTTGATGTCAGATGGCTTTTACACTGATCTCTGTCCAGTAGGAGTGAGGAAGGCGTTTGTCCAGAGGTTGGAATTGGTTATGATCCTCCTGTGATGGACAAGCCTATCAATATCCACCATCAAGGCCAACAAACCCTGAGGTAAAATTGATCAGTCACTTCTCAAGACCTTTCTCTTTGACCGTGCCTTCAGCTCCCCTCTCGACTCTCTACCCCCTCCTCGCTCCCTCCCCTCACCCTGACCATTTCCCCCTTGCTCGGGTCCTGACCCAACTGTACGTCCTCCTGACGTGAAAGGCGCTCAATAAATGTAAACTTCTTCTTGTTGTTGTTGTTGTTGTTCGTGACTGTCTCTGGGACACTGCTTATGTCCCAAATCGGCTGCCACATTTACCTACAAAATACAGTCACTGCAATTGCCAGTTAATCCTGTGAAGCACTTTGAGATGTCCTCCTGAAGAGAACCGTGCTGTATCAAATCAATTATTTATTACTGTTTAATACTGTTTAATTTCCTCGGAGCATTGCAACCGAGATTGGGAATCAGGCAATGTGAGTAAGGGCAGACCACAGAACCAACCAAGCTTTCCATGGTCCTGGGTTTAGATGCTGCTCATGGACACTGCACAGTTAAACACTTGCGGGCCCTGGAGAAGGGCCTCTTAAATATGTTACTTTATGAACTTATGCCAACCGTTACAGTACTACTAACTGCAACTCGCTTTCAGATTTGCGACTTGCCTGTTTCTTTAAAGGAGGCACTAAGAATAAGTGCGAATCAAGATTCCAACGCTATTTCTATTTCCGGCGAGAGTGCATCACAAGACACTGAAACAGATTTGATCTCCAAGAAAACATTACTGAGTTTATTTTGAAAGGTGCGCAACCGATGTCATGAAACATTATTTAAAACTCTCCCAGGATGACCTTAAAAGTGATTTTATAAGCCCAACCTGTCCTACCGATAGTTTCGAAAGAAAAATATAATTTAAAGCAATACTCAAAAATGCAACATCAAAAGCAATTCTGAAATTCTGCTTCGAAATAAGTTGCTTGAATTTTGGCGAAGTTTACCTACAGTAATTTGGAAAGCAAAGTGCTCACAGAAAGTGTTGAACATGAGTTATTCCCATGTACCAACTTCATAATTCGTGCAATTTACTGCAGGGGAAAATATTTTTTTCTGTTTCTGAAACAAGGAGGGAACAGCGGGGATGAAAAATCTGAAACTTACCATCTGAGATCGATTCTTTGGACAGCCATTGATGTCTTCAATCTTTTCATTGGCTGAAACGTTAAGAAAAGCAGCAAGATTATAACGAACGCAGAGTGTCGGGATGCTGAGAGCGTCCTTTCCTAACTGTTGCCGGTGTCTGAAGGGAACCGCTGTCTGCTGCTCGATGCTGGTAACATTAACAGCCAACCTCGCCAAAGCAAATGTGTGCAGGACGAATTAAGACCCATGAAAAGCTCGCGCAATTTTCGTACTGGTTCGTCCCTACCCAGCCCACAGCAGCTGAGTAGCAAGGTCACCCTCCAAAAGCAGACAACTGCACGAGTGGTCTCTCTTAACCCTTTCCACACCCCTTTGCTCTTTTCCTTCATTCCTCTGCAGACACCATCGGCCCTCATCAGTGGTGAGCCATGCATGGCATGCTGCAGTGGGTAGGATAAAGTTTCATTGACCATTCCACAAGAAGCAGCAGCAGCAGCAAAGAGGCTGGAAAAACACAGATGGAAACCACATGAAGCCTCGGTAGAAAGTCTGTGTAGCTGGCGGGATCAAACTCGGCTTTATAATTCTCCCTTCTTAATCGATCTACCCCCCACCCCCTTTGGTTTTGACAAGGTGACTGTTTGTGACGGACACCCTTTCCCCATTGGTGCTCAACACCTTACCTGCTGCTATTCCTGACTTTAGCACCTATTCTCTAAGGTAAATGAGGAAAGGACACAGGTTCCTCCAGAGGGACTGAGACACAGGTTAAAGAGGTACCCTTCACTGGCGGTGGCTTTGGAGGCAGAGTCCTTCTGGGGCTGCATGCAAGTGCAGCTCTGCCTCTCTCTCTGTCCCATTGGGTCCAGCAGCAAAGGTTTTTGATCGCCAGGCTGCCCAAACCTTCCCCCACCTCAACAATTAAATGCAAGAGCTGGATCTTCAAACAACTTCAGGACTTTGTGTATCCTGAACAGGAGGCTTTTAGTGCACTGGAAATCGAAGGTTTCTCCATGCAAAATACACAGTCAATCCATTTTACAATATATTCTGTGAAGGGCTCAGGGATGTCTCAACGACGTGATAAGGCGCTATACCAAATGCAAGGATTATTAGTAAGATATTGCAGAGGAGTTTCTACTCAAACCACTGTTCTGTCAGCATCAGAATCTCCAAATGTACCCACCTGATTTCCTCCAAACATGGATAGTAATGTAGGTCACCCATTCTTTGCTACAGATTGTGCTGTGTTGTTAACGTTGAGAATTAATTGTACAGAATCACTGCAGTCTTCGTGAACTGTGTTTAATTTTATTTAATTGTTTAAAATACTTTTGTTTAGGGATTTTCCCACAGTGATTCCCCCAAGTTGGTCATTTCAATGCATATTTTTTAATATAGTGTTACAGTTCATCAGGAAAGTCCCAGGTCTGAAGTTGATATCCATGGTGGTAGGGAAATGACAATTGCCCTCATCTCCCTTGTCTTGAGACGAGAGAGATCAATAAAGCTTCTGTTCCCCATCAATATCCCACAACACTTCCTTGCAAAAGCGCTTCTGTAACATAAAGGGACCTCAAGACAAAGCTAAAGGAGACAATGTGCTAGTTATCCTTCAATTGTCCTCTCGCCCAACTAGATCTACATACAAATGAGTCACTTTTCCTTTAACTATAGCTTGCACGAAAGAGATGACACCTGACACCTCAGTGGGATTTCACGATTAACATTACAATATATTGCTTTCATCAATTCACGTCATGCCCTCACAGTCTGGTTGAAAATGGCACCACAAGAGTTACAATTATTTTACCATTTATTTTATCGGACCATTTACTTCATTAACCGTTATCATTCTTTTTTTAAAAAAAGACGAAGAATGATCATTAGGTTAATTTCCATTCCAGAATTTATAGCCGCTCCTACCTTCCCATTGCTGAGTTGTAAAGTCACGACACTGAAACTGAAACTGGGGCATACAGGCTGTGAAAGCCACACTCTTCATCTGAATTCTAGGATCAACCAGGGTGAGCAGTGGGAGTGCCACAAACTGGAATCCACATTATTGAGGGAGGAGAGGAACTAAACAGGGTTTCCACTCCTCATTGCTAACCAATGTTTGTGCGTATGCCTATGTGTGCACGTGTGTGTATGTGTTTGTGGATGTCAGATGAGGATTTGCCTATGATCCTCTCATGGAAGAATAAATTGCTAACACTCACTGCCTCAGTACACATAAGGAACAGTCATTTAACCAAGGTACCACAATGTGCCTCCGCCCCAGCCCAAAATCCCGTGGAGCACTTTGAGATGTCCTTCTGATATGAAAGGAGCTATAACAAATGTAAATATTATTATTATTATACCTCATTTGTATAAGAAATCACCATGTAAAAAAAAGTTTTGTTTAAAAATTATTGAAGTTGGACATTTCCCCATAAAACTTTCATCGGTGTGAAATTCCGCACAATATCTGCCCGAAAATGTAACCTCCAGCTTGGATTGCTGTGGTGCAATTGTTGCAATTTAACACAACAATACCTTGTATTTACATAGCCCCTTTCATGCGGGAATAGCATCTCGAAGTGTGGTGATACACAATTAATGATTGCTAATGACATGAGACTGATAATAATAATAATAACCCTTGCATTTGATGTGGTCCCTTATCACGTGGAGACATCTCAAAGCACTTCACAGAATATACTGTAAAGTGGATTGACTGTGTATTTTGATGGCACAAGAGGAGAGAAAATGGTGGTATATTACACTCAGAGCGAAAGCATCAACAGGATTATCAGTATCGTCTGGATTTCCTTTACACAAAATGCATGCATCAAGAAAAAAATAGTCCTCCACGTACCTACGACCTGGATGATCTCAGCCAGGAGCACACCATCTGCAACGTCCTGCTGTAGGTCTCTGATGAGTCGCCTGTGGCCAGACTTAGCCAGGTAATGGTTGGCCCAGTCGGTGTAAATCTGTTGAACAAACGAGATTCAAAGATTCAGTTCATGCATCAAAATCTACATCACGTTACCCAGGACTTGCAGACTCTCAACACTGAAAGCTGTAAATGAGCGTGGTACACAACTAATTGATCGTCAGTCAGTGGAAGCATTGATTCCAGAGTGTCTTTTTTCTGTTGGAGGAGTCTGAAAACACACTCGGCTTGCTGTTAATTTAAATTCAAATCGCAAAGCTGCATAATCATTCAGTTTTGCACAGTGACTTAATTCAGAATTCTGACGTCAGAACTTTTTTTTTAAATAAACCAGTGAAAACCCTTGAAAAGTTTTTCAAGAACGAAACCAAAGGCAACTGTAAAAAGCCTATTGACAACTGTAAACCAAGCACAGATTTTGCACTATATACAATTTGCTTTAGTCCACCAGTCTGTACTTAAATTTAAACTTAACTGTGGACTGTAAGTAAATTCAGTATTTACAGTCATTTTCTAGCTCAACTCTCCGGTAGGTACAATTAATCCCCATTCAATGAACAATGTCGCATTTGGAAGTAAAGTGCAGTATTTTTAAACCATGGCATCCCAAAGAGTGTACTTTTGTCATGATTCAACTACTCCATTGTCCACAATGTGAATCCATGGCGCTTCTGTGATAAATTTTACATGGTGAGGTAAGTGTTCATAGCACTGTTTGCACCATCAGTGCAAAAGTAATTGCACACCACTGCCAATCTCCATGTAAGCAAGATGCACCATGAATGGGCAGCCAACAAATACCTTCAAATTACTAAAGCTGAGGAAATCTACTAAGAAATACTACCATCACCAAATGAACATGTGACAATACATTTCTTTCAACTTTACACACAAGTGCAATTGAAATAGCTTTAAGAACAAATTACTCATGCTCTACTGCCTGGATATTAGCTCCCGCATTTGCTATCATTATCTCCTTTACTGAAATATAACAAAGGTCTATTTTGATTTGAAAGAAAAATCAATGACTGGAAAGAAGTCTCAATGTGTCTTCAAATAAGACATTTTTTTGGACCGGTCAGTAAAAGGAAGCCATATTCATCCATATTGAAGTAAATAACTAACTGACATGAACTCAAACAGAGAAAAACAGAGACTGCTATCTATGTTTGCAGTGCTTCATCTGCAGGTCGGATCACACAACACTGGGAGATGCCAGATCGACAAATAGAACGTCAAAAGTCACTTACCCAATCTAACAGTTCAGTGTCAAAGTGAACGACAGCCTTTGTTTCTCCAAATATTGTTTCAACGTCTCGTCCAAACTGCAAGTAGTGTTCAACACAAACCAATTTGCTGCACTGTAAATCATACCCCTTGTACCACTCACACATCAGCATAGGAATTCAGAAATCATCTGCTACATGGACTGTAGCATAAACTGCTCTGAACAAAGCACTTTCATTTATAGCTATTGTGTGCATTACTCACACTGACCAACCAATACCACGAACCTCACATTACAAAAGCCAGTCTATTCCACGATCCACAGCAAAACAGAAGCACAACGTGGTAGTTGCTTTTTGCTTTTCACTGATGTATGGCAGTTTTGCTTTGGGTGTGCAGATAGTGTTCATAGCACATAAAATGGTTTGTGAGTGGTATCACTAAAATCTACATACCACATTGGATCACTTTGGTTGCAAGCTTAGCTGCAACGGGCACAATTTATAAATATATATATATATATATATATAAAAAGAGAGTATCATCATATGGGTTCACTCTTACAGTATAATCACCAGAAGATATTTAGTAAATGTTTGCAGTGAAAACAAATTGCATTGAATCTTTTTAAGTAGGACCAACATTGACTAAGGTGTCAATAAAGGTTAGTCAGCATGCTGGCAGTGAAGCAGAGAGTAGTCAGAGATCTGTAGCCGAAACACTGATTGTCCAGCACCTCGGGACGTCCACTATACAAATGTAATTTTGTTATTGCTGTTACCTGTTGAAATTCCTATTTCCTTTCTTTATTTAAAAAAAGGGCACTTGCCAAGGCTAGGACCAACTCCGACAAGTGGACACTTTCTTTCTGTGCTCTAACAGCTTTCCAACTGAGTGAACTGTGGGTCTTGTTAAAACGACAAGCACTTTGCTGCTTAAGGAAAATTAATCACAAAGCTATTCCCTCCAAAATATTTAAACACACTGAGTTTCTGAAGGTCGGCTGCCATCCTTTACTACATTCGCATATTACAGTACTTCGTGGAGACTTGCAATCTATACAAAAATAACCTTGTATTAACATATCCTACCGTTTTATAATCCTCACTGGACCAAGTGTGCATTGAAAACCTGTGGTTTGAATTTATGGACATTTTTCATCCAGTTGCACCCAACTGGTGTTGCAGCTCACATGGGGCACCTGTAGTTTGCTGATGATTTATAAATGCTGTATACAGATCTGTAGCCAAGTATAGCTCAGGCCATGCTTTCTTCACAGTCCAGGAGTTCTTCCTCATGTGAACAGCATCCCACTCTTTCAAGTTACGTTCAACCATGCAAATGAGCCGAGGCTGAGTTAGCCTCTCAGCTCACTAACAGATGCACCTCCTTTGATCTTACACCCTTCTCGGCTAACCAAACTACACTGCAATCAGAACAAACACTCTTAATTTCCCCCAGGTTTACTGTAAACATTTCTGAAATTTACAGCTCAGTGTGGTACACGAACATACAAACCGAATTCTCAGAAGACTGAAAACAAGTCAATTTCCATCAAGTGCCAATTTAAATACATCAAAGAAGAGCATAATATTAGTCGTTTGAATGAAACAGCAAGAGTATCAAGCAATGAATTTTGTATTGCATTATCAAATGGTGCCTTGTCTATATTAATATGTGATTGACTTCTAAATCTCCAACCACAGTACCTACAAGGCAACAACTTTTAACCGTAAGTATCCAGTTGCCAACAACCTATGAGAGGGGACAGATACTATGAATATTCAATGGTCAAATAATTTACTTGCTACAGAAATAAAATTAACAGCTTAAAATATATATACATATTTTTAAAAATCGTATTTTTTTTACCATGTAACAACAAGTAAGGTTGTTGCACATAATAATTGTTAATAGGTTTAATGTTATCCCAATATAGGGATAATAAAAAGAAGTGTGAAGGATTAAATGCCTATATTTTTATGAGAAATATAGTATGGTCATTAAATTATGACTAAAGCTTTAGTGCATATTCGGTTAAATGCTGTGACACTGTACTATTAAAAATATCTTAGCTAAAACTCAATAGGCAGATTAATTGAAATCCGTGCAATCCCACAAGTTTCCCTCATTTCGCCACAAATATACAGTCGATTCACTTTACAGTACACTCTGTGAAGTGCTTTGAGACGTCTAGAAGACGTGAAAAGCGCTATATCAAATGCAAGGATTATTATTATTATTATTATTCCCTCATCATTTCATGAATAATGATTCAAACAATAAACTCTATATTCAAAATCTGTAAACTAACAGAAGTGCAATTGTGAGTTATTTCTGGATTGAGCGGCTAAGACACGCATGGTCACATGCAAAATGACTCAACTTTATATCCAGAGTCAAACAATGTTATCTTCCCTCATTGGTAATGAGAAAATTCCCTGCTCCTGATAGTTTACTCCTTGAAGTCTGACTACAACTGCACAGATATTCTTCTTTCCTTAAATCAGTTCTCTCATCCGTGCAACTGACCTGAGGGTCTATGTATCTTTGTATTCGACTAGAGGAAACGCATTAAACTGGATCAAATTTTGTTATGTTAACACTTTACAGCTTCAGATCACAACCAAGCTTTTTTCATGCTTTCACTTTCCTTAGAAGCTCATCGGTTACTCAGAAGCTAATCAGTTTCTCAGGAAACAAAAGCACTAATTATAGGGAGGAAACACAGCTCTGCATTCTTCACCTTGGTCACCTCCAGAGAGTCACATTTATACAGTTCATTATGCGATGTTGCTGTTGCTGACAGTGAAACCAGCTCAGTTGTTTCAAAAGATGCTTCTTGAGCGAATGAGTCCACCAGCAATCTCACATTTCAGACAGTCTCGAGAGCTGTATCTTCATAAAAACACATTTAGCTGAAGTGCTCACTCAGGATGTCTAATACTGTACGATGTTTATAGAATCTCAGTCGAGTTCATCTGTGTGCTGCGGTTATTGATGGAACCAATCTGGACTCACTCTCAACAGCAAGTTTTACAAACATGCAATAAGTCATTGGATGCAAGTGTTTCTGACTGAAATCCAGCAATTCTGGAAGGACAAAATTTATAAACTAAAAATGCAAAAGAAAGCTCAGTATATCTTTCAGTTACGTGTCAGTCCCAGAAGCAAAGTGTTGTTGTGGCTAAAATTAACTGGGTATTTAAGAGTAACTCAGATCCTTCCCCTGCATTAAATTTACACTAAAAGGGTCGGGTCACCATCCTAATATTGAGCCTACGCAATGCAAACACAGCATAGCTCCTGATACATTACCTAATCATTAAGGCTGAGCAAGGTACAGCAATCTGTTTTGATATACTAGACCATATGTCGGTGATCATTGACAGACAACTAACTACTCCTGACACAAAGCTGGACGTGCCCCTTTTTTAGGCAACTGATTTATGTTGGTTTCCAAGCAAATTGAACCACTTAACAAAACTTGAAAATTAACACTGTCATTGTAAAGTGTACACTCGCAGGAACACGTCTGTATTAAATAACATCAATATTCTGTTGTGAGGAGCCACAAGAGTGAGTTTTTCAATTACACCTGCAGCAGGTGCGACTGTGAAAGAAGTATAATAGTGTGATAAGTACAACTGTTAAGAAGGCCAAGCCTTCAAGCGATAAATGTTTCTACTTCAAGCAGGTGCAAAGCGAGCACAGATGGGTGCAGGGTACCTGTGAACCATAATTCTGTTTTACCCTCACGAGCAGTGCAGAGTGAAAGTATAAACCCTAACGATATTCAATTGGGTCACG